CAAAATCAATTTCCAATTTGCACAAAATATATTCCAGATTTTTAGCCGAAGATTGAGACCCATTTTTGGCATAGTAAAAGTCTGAATTGGAAAAGAGTTATTTCTATCAAAGTTTCAGATCTTTGAGTTATCTTTTCAACACATTTTGAATCGTCTAAATTGGATATCGAAAGAGAAAGTTATTACCAAATTACTGAATGCTATGTAGAGACAAAAAAATCTGCGCGCGAAAGTAACTTTCCTTATTCGATTAGAACTCTTTTGGAAACCAATTTGGACGTGATTTTCATCCAATTTCGGACTCTCAGAAATACTTAATAGCAAAATACATATGGAGGAGGTCTCTATACACCATTCTTCTCCTCTTTGGCTCAAAAAACTCATGGAGAACNAGCAAAATACATATGGAGGAGGTCTCTATACACCATTCTTCTCCTCTTTGGCTCAAAAAACTCATGGAGAACTAAAACCCTTTAGTGAAGCTACGAAGGAACTCGGTTGGAATTTGTGATTTCATATCTTTTATTCATTTAATTTGATCTTTTCATTATCAAACAATGTTAGAATGGTGATTTTCATTCTCTTGAATTTATATTGAAATCGGTTTAATATTTACAAGATTTTTCATGGATTCAATCATACTTTTTCTATTGTTCAATCAAATTATTTATTGAGTTTCAATTATTGTTGTTGAGATTGGTTTAATAATTATTATATCCTTCATAGATCCAGTCATGATTCTTCTATCATTAGATTGAACTAGTTGTTGAATTTTAATCTCAATTTTACTTTATTGGCGGATTGATTACTGTCTTATGTTTGATGTATATGGTCGATCTTTGATCTTGTTCTAATAAAATATTGCGAATATATCTTAAATCTAAATTCTAGAATTACATTTGTAAATTAAATTGATTTTCACGATATATCTTCCGATTAGAGTGTCGGGATGAAAGCCTTTAATTGTATTATAAAAATGAATAATTGATATGATTGATCAAATCAAATTGAGGGAATTCCGACGCTTCACTGCTTCGAATTATTGATTTTAATTTCACCTTTCAACATTGAATTTTATTACATATTTGAGAGAACAATTTAGCATTTTTGATCTTTTAAATATTCTTCCATCTCCCTATGGATACAACACCCCAAAACTGTGCTACAATTACCGCGTTATTCTTTGGACGTAATTAGGATGAAAACGGGTCGAGTTGTTTGTAGGCTTCGTGGGCTCTGATCGACTTGATCTATGGACGGCTCAAGCTTGTTTTGAAACTAACATGGACAGAGCCGGATATAATTTATTTTTGTCAGGCTTGTGGGTACATTTTTTTATGACTATTTGAACTTACATGAATTATTTATGTCCGATTCTAGTATAAATTCCAATATTCTTCCTTCTTCCATGCATTATTACAAATGAATTACAACAGTCAATTTGTTCAAGCCGACAATTAGTCTAAAAATTGGTGAATTCAACCTCTAAATACAAATTCAGATAAACTTTTTAGGCTTACTATTGGGTTGAACAAATTGACTGCATTCTTGGCCTCCCAAAGAATTCTAAAACTTCTTTTCTTTATCACTTCCTAAAGTCCCATCTTTCGAATTCTTACTTTCAATGTCAAGATATAGATTATGTAAGCCATGATATTGAAAGAGATAATTCAAAAGTAGACTCCAAGAACTATAAAGAAGAATAGTTTCAAAAAAATTCGAGAGGCCAAGAGTACAATTAATTTGTTTAAGGTAATAATCAGCTTAAAAAGGTCGATTTGGATTTATATCTTTGGGGTAGAATTGGTTCAATGATTCCATCTATAGACTTTGAACTTTGTGGAAATACATTTCATATATTGCATCTGCACAGATAACTTAATGTATTTAAAGGATGGAGAAGATGCAAAGTTTCAGAGTCAAGATAAAGTGGTTAATTAACTAAAGATTTTCAAGATCTGATTTCATCATTTGTAAATATTGTTTACATGAATTTTCTTTTATTTTTTGGACTTTTTAGAAAAATTGTACATATAATATTTTGTTGGTGAATAATTTTTAACTCACCTACACTAAAAGTTACCAAATCCAAGCCTCGAAAAAGGCGAAGGGTTTCAATTTATTTATTAATTTCTTTAAAAACTAAAAAAAATGAGTCGAGTCATGGTCTCTTGGACAGCTCAGCTCGACGACCCTTAAGGCCCACGAACAGGGACGGAGCCCAATAAGGCCCAGTGCCCACCCTGAACTTTTGGGCTCATTTTTTTTCTAGGCTTTTTTTTTT